TAATAGGTTGCAACACCAACACCATACATAGAGTACAGAGACTCTCATTAGATAGATAATAATATAATATGACATAAGATGGAAAGAAACAATTCATAGATAATCTTCAACTGAAATGTTCAAGGCCTCCTCTCTTTGTTCCAACTCATGACTACTCATCATTCTTTCCTCCCAAACCCCAAAACATCCATCATTAACGTTGCTTTCATTCATCACATTCTTGGACTCATCACGACTCCTACTATCTATCGATGATGATGATGATGTTGATGATCTTGTCTGTTGCTGTTGTGTTTGATTCATGGCAAACTGAGCATCAACCGCCATTCCAGCATCCGACGCCGCCTTCTGTACCGACTGCGGCGACATGTCCGTTCTCACTCCGACAGGCAATGTCGCTGGAAAATTAAGGTTGTTGTACGAGGAAGGTCCTCGCAGACAGTACGACGCCACGTCATGCGCCACCGCTGCGGCTTCAGCAGTCGAATACGAGCCGAGCCAGAGCCGATCTTGGGTTCCCGGAACTCTGATTTCCGACACCCATTTCCCCCATTTCCGGCGTCGGACTCCCTTGTATTTCTTCTGCTCCGCCGTGATTGCTCCGCCGCTGCTGCCTTCATCGGAGCTGCTCATTTTTTTCCTTCTTTTTTGGGTTTTGTTTGTTGAAATGATGGAATTGAATTGGATTTTTTTAGTTGGAGAATTAAGGAAGTGGTTTATATAGGTTGAACAATGAGAAGGTCAGAGGGGGATCTTGGATTTTGGAGTGTTTGTTTTTTTTTTTTTGTTTGAAGTGTTTGTTTGGGAAGGCTGACCAGAGAAAGTGACAGAGAAAAGAAAGAGTCAATATTTTGAAAGGTCAAAAACTAATTGTGGGTTTCAAGGCTTGTAATCAAAGGAGGCAGCAGGACGGTGGTTTTTTTAATGAGAAATGTTAGTCATCATGAAAATTTTGTCATGAAAATGATTATGAAAAATTTGTGCCTCTTAGATTACCTTGATTAGTGTGTAGTGCTTTATTGTAAGTGTAATCCAAAAGTCACAAATCTTTCATAACTATTTTCATGAAAGACTTTTCATGATACCTAATATTACTGTTTTTTAATTAATTTAAATTATGGTCCTCATGATATGAACAGAAAATTAAGTTCAACCTCTACTCATGAGTATAGATTGCGCTAACACGTGCATAAACAAAATTGGAAGAAAAGTGAAAAAAGAATTATTGTACAATTTCATAATTTTATTTATAATGACATAATAAATTATATTTTATTTATTACAAATTTAATTATTTTGTCAAGTTATTATGAGTGAATTATAAGATTTAAATTGGTATTTCTCAATAATAATTGTGCAATTTTTCTAATTAACGGGTTAGTCTGTTTCACAAAAATCTTTATATCTCAATAAGAGTGTCAATATTATATGTCGTATTTGATTTTCATTGTCACGATTGTAACATTATGAGTTGTATTCATAGACTCAAAAACCCAACTTGATTTTATGGATTAAACATTTAATTCAAATGCTAAAAACATTTTAACTTAGGATAAGAAATTTTAGTCCAATCCAAAATAACATGCCTACTTATAAAATATTAATTTTAATTTTATAATATTTAGTTTTATAATAAAATAAAAAAATGAGAAAAGTGAATATTCCTAACCTTCGACTATTAATTTTAATTTTATATTATTTAGTTTGAATTTTATATTATTTGAATAGCACAATTTTTTTAAATTATTTAAAATGCCCAATACACACAGTTAATTTAAAAAAAAAAAACTATATATGTTGAGTTAAATGGATGGATTTGAAATTTAAAAGTTATTTCAAGGTTGAGGTGGGCATTGCTAAATTAGACCTAATGTCAAAGTGGAGTTAAGTTTGGAATATCACATATGCTCTTTTTATATAATGCAAGCATGATTTGTTCTATATCCACCTCTAGTTGTTTGTGATATTTTTATGTCAAGCCAAAACAATTATGGTTGTGTTTCATAATTTTAAAAATATTTTTTTTACACAAAAATTGTTTGTAGGCCTTTAATTTCAAGTTCAAACACCTACTATAATACTTTATAATTTTAAAATTATTATTTATTACATAATTTTAAATAAGACTTCTCTTATAATATATGTCTTATATGTGTATAATTTTTTATTGCATTAAATACACACTTATATTGCATGTAGGTCTCATTCTTCGTGTATTAATTGGAACTTTCTCTCTTATTTTAAAAATTCTTTGTAATAAAACAAAAAATTATATTATATTTGATCTTTATTACTATGATTATAATTTATTAAGCTTTATTATGATATCTTATATGAATCCCATATATATATATATATATATGCACGCCTGTACTTTCTAATTAATGCACATAAAAATCGTAGCAAAACTTATAAATTTCAAAATTTTTGGGAAGCATGGAAGTAAGAATGGCAACGGGGCGGGGCTGGGGGGATCACACTCCCCGTCCCCGATCCCCGATGGTGAACATGGCCCCGTTCCCGGCCCCGATTCCCGACGGGGAACTTATCACTCTCCCCACCCCCGCCCCCGATCGGGGATCGGGTTTCCCCGACCCGAAAATTCCCGGCCTAAATTTGTTTCAACATCATCAACAAAGAAAAAAGAGAAGAACTTCCATTTCTACCAAAATATCATGACCTAATATGAAAAAGACACTAAACCCTCATCATCACATCAAAACCAGAAACAAAGTGCATCAAGATCAAACATATTCACTCTTAGAAATCAACTGCAACTTCAAATCTAATGTAAGATTCATAGGATCCAAGCATCTAAGAAACAAAATTGAGTCTTAGATTGATAATAAAAACAAACCCACATGCCAGTTAAACAAAAGATTCAGCTAAAAAACACAAAACAAAACAAACTCACACAATAGCCGAAAACCCATTTGCACAAAGATCACAAAAAAAAAATTTGACAGAAAGATCTGAGAGAGAAAGAGAAAAACTAGATTTGGTAGAGTTCATGGAGAACTTCACCATGCTCGATTGATCTCGTAATCCCTGGAATAAATCTGCAGCGGCGAAGATCTAGTGAGGGACGGCCCTATGAAATGATATATATATATATATATATATAGGTGTGGTGTAGTCATGGGTGGCGTCACAAGTGATGTTGATGTGAAGATTATGGGAGATCTCAGATATTAATTAAAGGAGTCAGAAATTGACTTCTGATAGAGTCAGCCCCTCCCACATTTAAAAAAACAACTTCAGATTCAGGTCGGCAGTGGCACAACATCCCCTTCCCTTCCCTTCCCATGTATTTATTCAATAATTAATGTTTGACAAATTTTAGCAGCATTCATAAATTTGACAATGAGTAAAATCATATACACAATAAATGATTTTCTTTATTATAAAAGAAAAATGACAAGTTTTAGTCATCTTACTTACAACTACAATTTAATTTCATGTGAAATCATTAAAATTGACCAACTTGCTATACAATGTTACCACCAAAATAAATAAAATAAAATCACTAACTACAAAAAATGTTGGAGGTGGTTAAGGGGCGGCAAGCGAGTGGCTGAAGGAGGTGAGGAGAGAGAAAATAATGAATTTTTTTTACACAAATAAAAATATATTTTTTATTTACTAGAATTTAATAAATTGTAAATTATTTACATTTTTTCAGAAACAAAATAAATACAATTTAAAAATATTTTGTGAACATAATAAATAAATAAATAAAAATTACACATAAACATTACCAAATAGAAACAACTGTAAAAAATATATATATATTTTTCAAATTGTAAAACGCCATCCGTGAAGACTAAATTGGACCACTTTAAGCATGAAGATTTGGAACGTGGACCAAACAGAACAGAACAATCAAACCATCAGAGACTGGAGAAACTGTTTACACAAAACCATTTTTTTAACTCTCAAAAGTCAAAAAAACCACTTATTTTTTTCTAGATATTGTTTGGCAATGGTTTAATCCACCCACCCTGAATACACAAGTGGACACATGCAAACATCTGTGGTCAAGGTTCACGCATTAACTTTTTCTCACTTTGATCCCTTTTTGGGCCACCCTGAATACACAAGTGGACACATGCAAAACATCTGTGGTCAAGGTTCATGCATTAACTTTTTCTCACTTTGATCCTTTTTTTTTTTTTTTTTAATACACAAGTGGACACATGCAAACATCTGTGGTCAAGGTTCACTTTTGACATTTTTCACTTTGACCTAGTTGCCAATGTCCTTTCAAGTTGCAAAGCATTTTTGGTATTTTCTTACCGGATGTCCATAACCAAATTCGAATGCATACCCATAACAAAATTCAAACCCAAAATTAAACCTAAATATAAACTCATACACAAAATCAAATTGAAATCCAAACCCTATACCAAATCTTAACCCTACCTAACCTCAACTTAGGAATAACCAAGGCTATATTTGGTGGAGCTCTTGAAATGTAATTCCACACTGTCCTTTGAGTGTCGTGTTTGGTTAGTGATTTTCAAAAATTGATTCCACACCTACTTTTGAAAACATATCTACCTGGTCATTCTCCCGGATGTCCCCGGACGTCTGGCTGGTTGATTGGAACAAATTTTTTTTTTTTCACATGCACCAAACAAATTTTCCACACTCAAATCATAATTTCATGACTCACAAACTCAAAAGATAACTCTATTCTCAAATCATAATTCTAAAACTCTATCAAGCGCAACCCAAAATTCCCTATCACCCGTGTTCTCCTTCCCCTTCTCTCTTTACACCCTCTCCCCCAGCCCGCCGCAACCCTCACCTTTTCTCTCACTCCACCCTCCACCCTCCACCATCATTTTCCCAGGCAAAATATATTTCCTGACAGAGACCTTAAATTAAATTCGTCAAAAAATATTACCAGAATTTGCAGAGTTTTAGAATTGAAAAGCAGGTTTATCAAGAAAGGGTTGATGGGCTTTCCAATTGAAATCAGGCTCTCAATTTTGACATCCAAATCAAAAATGAACTGAATTGTATAAATAGAATTGTTCGCAGATACAGATAGCACTATGACTACGTATAGATACCAACAGCTGCAACCCTGTTCCATTTGGAATATAGCCTATGCGGGAAAAAAAGAATATAAAGTGTACAGTGACCAACAAGGTCTGATTTCTAGAATCAACATGATTAACCTAAATCACATTAAAATGTTTTATGATTAAGCAATTGAAGAATTGGGAGTCTAATTGAAAGCATTTGTAACAGAATAAATGAAGTCCAAGAAACCTGTTCCTTTGAGAAGACCTTTACCAGTCAAGAGCTCAAAATCTAACAGCAATAGGAAGCCAATCCCCGCTGCCTTTCCATTAATCAATTCATTCTTCCTTGTGAAACCAAACCCCTCTTGATCCTCATCGACCACCATTCTGACCTAGAACACGCCTTTACGAGGTCAGACATGATTCTTTAAATTTATTTGCAAAATTTAAAGTGAATTTAAATAGAATAAATTTTTTACCTCATCCACATTGACATCAGTTGCAGTTACACCGGGCTGAGCCTTTCCGCTAAAGAGGATTTCCACGGATGCATCAGATTCTGCAGCTCCTCTCATGCTGATGAAAATGTTTTCATCATCAGTTTTCACTGGATAAACAAATAGAGTCCTCAAAGCAGGTGTGAGGGCTCTCAGCACAGGATTCTTGGGATACCATTCCTTGATCTCGCCAGTCCTAAGATCAAATGTGCTATCAGTTGTTGGGCATACAATACAGCCATCCTGAGGAGAAAAATATGTTTACTAGGTTCAGCTTTTATCCAAGAAAAACTCAAACAGTACAACAGTTTTTCTTGCATGAAGATAAGTGATATGTGTGTGCTACATGAGAGGAGAAACAATTTATATTACGAAAAATGTAGTTGACATTGATAAGGTTCAAACCTATATGTACGTAAGAGTTTCACACCTTAAATTTCCACAATTCAATGTTGGGATTTCAGGGAATAGTCCTCAGTATTTTGCTGAACCCATCAATAAAAATATCCATTGAAACATCACTGATCTAGAATTTTACTTTTTCTTGTTATACAATATCTGGAATGAATCAGTCTATCACTCATCTTTCAAAGATATTATAATGGGCATTTACTTAAATGTTTTTAATATAAACAAGAGCTGAGCCCATGCTGAGTACTTGGTCAATTTTTGAGGTACTTTCATACTTAGAAAATGCTTGAGGGACTTAAAGGAGATCATATACTCGAGTTGCTCCGATGAACAACTAACACGGGCGCGGCGGGGATTTCATGGAGAGAAACTTAGACCAATCACACAAATAATATTTATTTTCAAAGACAATAATCATGCCTTATGTCAATGAGTGTTTAAACAAAATTACGAATAAAAGCACTACATTCATTAAAGCGATGAATAATTCCAATTAAAGAAAAAAAAAGAAAAAAGAAAGATAGCCGAGGCGCAGAGTCTTCTTGATGGGCAGCCGATAGGAGATTTCGGTTAGGAAGTTCATATACAGTTTTTTGAGCCAAAATGGTGTTTCTCTCTTAGAGCTCTTTTTGTTTCTTTTGGTATACCACTAAGTTTCGTTGTCTTGTGCTTTTCATATTCCTTGGATTGTGCCAATTTTGGGCTTGTTGTGTAAGGTTGCTTAATGGAAGCAATGCATATTTATCCAACAAGGTGTATGAATCACACATGGTTTCAAGAAGTTGTGCTAGGATGCAATCATATATCTTGATGGTTGAATAAAACATTGGCCTTTTGCAGGTGATGAAGAATTTGAAGGAGCAAAGCAACTACTCAATTGGGGCTACCAACTTGATCCAAAAGCTTAAGCCCAAGTTGCTATATCATACTAACATTTGATATTTGATTGATGTGTATCACAGTAATCTACTTGAGCTCAGCTCGATTGTAACTCATTTGAGATTGCCTCAAAAGATAAACAAGTCAAAATTAAACACACTTTGAAGCTAATTAAGTTTTTAATGTAAGGTTGAAGAATCTATTACTCAATTGGTAATATACACATTCATATATAGAAAAGGCAAGAGTACCAACATACATCATCAATTCAAACATACATATATAAATTGATGGACCCATATACATACATTACAAAAAGAAAAAGAAAAAAAAGAAGCATATTGGCATCGACATACCATAGTAAGCTTGGCATTGAGCAAGCCTTCAGAGTAAGCGCCCTCAGCAGGAGACCTGTTCTCAATTGCAAAGATGTCTTCTTTGTACCACAATAACAGTATAGTCTCCCCATCCTGAATTATGACGCGCCGCTCTCCCTTCGGCAACGCCGACACTGGCACCACCGGTACCCAGTTCTTCCCCTCCTCATCACTCACTCCGCCTCCGCCGCCCTTGTCCTCGGCCACCGAGACTTCTGTAGCCTTACACGTAATTTTACGGAGAGAGATTGGGGATGAAATCAAAGGTAAGGGGTTTACTGGGGCGGTGGTTGGGCGGCGCAACGGCAGCAATAGCGGTAGTTTCCGGCAATGAGGCGGCCAAGGGAGGAAGGGGACTCTGGAAGTGAGCTTTGGGGTTGTGGTGGCCATGGATTATTTGGGGGTGGTAGAGAGGGAAAGCTCTGAGCCAAGAAATGTGAGAACAAAGAGGAGAGAGAGAGAGAGAGAGGGAGAGGGCAGGGCAATAATTTCCATGGCCACAAAAAACTGGATAATGATCAGAGGGACGGGAAAAACTGGGAGTTTTCGAAATAATGTTATGATTATTGATTATACTTGGTTGATTTGAATACAAAGAATTTTTAGAGATGGGTATCTCTTGGGGTTATTAATTTTTTTATTAAATAAATAATTAAATATTTTTATATGGGTTTGGAGTTTTTAATTTGTAAATTTTACACTCATGTGACATATTTGATCATTTATTTAATAGAAAATTTGAAACTTATAACATTTTTCCTGTTTAAAATATGAATGGTTAGTTGTTTTTTAATTTTTTTTATTTTATAATAAATAATTATTTTTATTAATAAGTTATTAAATTAATTAACATTTTATAATAATGTTAAAATTTTATTTTAATTAATAATTTAAGTAATTTTATTGTTATATAGAAGAGTAGTAAAAAAATTATTTATCCTGTTAATTTAGTTAAATAAATAATTTTGACAATGAATTTTTTTGTAATTTTTCAAACAATATAAGACAATTCTTATTTTAAACGAATCTCAATAAGTGTATTTGTAATTTATCCTTTAAAAATTGATCAAATGAAAATATTATGATTATTGAATTGATTCAATTTTGGAAGGATTTTTTTAAGATTTCTAATATTAAGATTTTATAGGATAAGGACATGCAATATTCCTCAATATTTTTTTAGAGAAATTTCGATTCAGAAAAAATTTCAAAATATAGAGAAATTTATCTGATTAGCTCAATTTCTTTGATTTTCTTTGGGTTCGTTTGGGATGCTCCTCGGGCTAAAATAGTCATATAAGACAAAATAGGTTATTTTAGCCAAATAGAAAAAAATGTCACTTCCAACCCATAATCATTTCATTTTTTTCTCACGAAAGTCATAAAAGCCAAAAAGCCTATTCCAAATGAGACTTTTTAACTCTAGACAAAAATAGCCAAAAAAATTAAAAAGTCAAAAAGCCAACTCACATCCCAAACGAGTTCTTTGTGCTTTGAATATTTTTTTTTAAGATTCTTAGTATTATGATTTTAAAGGATAAGGACACCTGAAAAGTTCATACCTTAGGTCCCTAAAAAAAAAAGCGCGTCCAAAATATCCTTGCGTCATTCTCTCTTTGTGATTGATAAAGAAAAATTTGGGCTAAATTTCTTTGTGTGATGGTCAGAGAAATTTATAAAATTGAAATTTCTTCGGCATTCTAGAGAAATTTGTGATAGCATCACCCCTTGCTCAGTTGATTTTTTCTGGCAAAAAATCTGAGCTAAATTTCTCTATCATTGTAGTGAAATTTGTAACAACATTACCTATTGTTTAGTTGATTTTCTTTGCCTAAAAACCGAGACTAAATTTCTCTTGGTGTGATGACTAGAGAAATTTGTATTCAACTAATTTTCTTTGGCTAAAAATCTTGGTTATATTTTTCTATCATATTTATTTTCTCTGGATATCCACGCACTTAATACTTTATTATGCATTTGAATTTTACTGCCCACATTACTTAGTACTCTCTGGCAACCCTTACCAACGCGACCACACTTCACCGTCATCTCACTTTGCCTCGCTGCCGTCTTCTTCTTTGCATCTCTTTAAACAGAAAAGAAAAAGAGAGAGGTGGGTGTAGGTCTGGGTGTTGGTGTGGATAAGTTGAGTGGGTTTTGTAATGAGTAATTTAAACTAACAAAAAAATTATAATGGACCTCTCCTCCTACTAAAAGTTGAAAAGGGATCTTTCACTAATTTTCTTTTAATTTTTATTATAAATGAAAGTCTTACAAAATAAATAATTTAAATTATTAAAATGAAATCTTTAATAAACTCTATGAATTAAAATAATTTTCTAAAATTTAAATTTAAAATTAGAAAAAAAATACGAACTTACCACAAATACTCTCATAAAAAATATACAACAATTTGATGATCAACTGTCTAATGAAATCTGCGCAATAACATGTAATAAAAAAAATTCACTCCCTTCATTAAAGTGTCTCCTTTAAGTGCAATAACATGCAATGATTAAATTTATGAAAAAAATTTAAAAACTAGTATAAAGTCTTATTCTTTTGTCAACACACATATCTAATAATTACACAATGCACTTGCGGACCTGCAATCATTTCAACTTTATGACGAACACCAATTCACCACCTACTTATGGAGGCATATTCCTGTTTAGTTCTTGAAATGCCAAAATTCACTCCACGCGAAAAATATGCCCAAACAAAAATACTCATATGGGAACAAAAGCATATGAACTGATATTGATGGTCACCTAAGGGGTTCAGTCCACAGCTCACGGTTCAGCTCACGGTCCAGATATTAAAGTTTAATAATTTTGAGAAATTGATGCTAACATAAGATTAATAGCATCCAAACACTTATCAGGCAGGGAATCAGCCACGTGAAATAGATTAAGATCCTGCAAAGTTATTATACTCACACATCGGCCATTTAATGAGGCAATTGTAGCATTAAATACGGCAAGACCCCTCACGCCGGAGTATGCAGAATCACTATGAACGATGTTAACTAAGCCATAGACTTTCGGCCAACAAGACAGCTTAGAATGGATAAAGAAATGATGAGCAAAGGGTATAAGGAAACTTTCGAGATATGTTAGGTTAAGTTTTCACCCCCTTGCATCTCTCTCTCTATCTCTCCCTCCAAAATCAATCTAGCCTGACCTAACTTGATCATCGGAGTGTCCGTCGGCGGGCCATTTCCCCTTTTGGACCTTTTTGCAGGTACGCTTCGAGGACTCCAAGGCCAGCAGACCCGTTGGAAGCGTGGATCAGTCCGATCCATCTTCCATTAAAGTTATTGCATTATCAGTTGGTGCTGTCTGTTGATCTCTGGTTGTCAGTTGTGTTCATTGTCACTAGAGAAAACCCCGTTATTTCCTACGACAAGGTGGATGGTCACTACTAGATCCATGGCTTCCCAACACAATGCTGGTAACCCTAAAGCTGAGTCCTCCAACCCAAATAACCTATCTCCATATTTTGCAGAACTTACCAACAACATCAACCGTCTGACCGAACAAAACCAAGCCCTGATCAACGCTTTACTCCAGCTCGACTTACCTATCCCTTCTCCACCACCACAAATAGTTCCCCCACATCCGGAACACACCCACAATCACCACCAATTCCCACCACAGGTGTCCCAAGGAATATTTCCACCTTTCGTCCCACGGTCTCAACCGTCAAATCTTGACGGCCTACGCCCTCCTCCTTTAGGCTCGCAGCTCGATAAGAGGGACCACCGCCTTTCCATAACCTGTTGGAAAAAAAATGATTTTTGGGGACTTTAATTTAATATTAAAGTGTAGTGACTTCAATTAAATATTAAAGTGGGTCCTAATCATTTTTTGTGTTGGGTCCTAGTGAGCCAAAAATCATTGGGTTTTGAATAAGAAATTGCCAAGAAATTGCTTCATGATGTTAGATTCATGAATAGGATTTTAAAGAGTATTTAAATCTTTTTTCTTGGCTAAAGAGTGTGAATCCTTTGGGCATCCATACTTTTCATTTTTGTGGAAAGGGGCTATGGATGCTTGGTGTTTTAATGACTAGCCTTAAAGGCTGGAGGCTCTTCTTCTCTTCCCTATACATGTATAAATTGAGACCCTCCTGTCAAGTTTCAATATAGAAATTTTTTCTTCCATTTTACAAGTCAGTTTGCTTGATAGTTCCTATTGTGAGAAAGTACTGCCATTGTTTTGTTCGCTAAGCTAGACAGATAGTGCTTCTGCCGTAGCTGGTTTTGACTGTCGTATCCTGGGAGACAGACGCCGGGATTCCTCAAGCACTCGACCCGTGAGGCGGCAAAATCTGTTTTAAGGAAACTGCTTCCGTGCAGGCTTCGGTTTCGTCTTTTTACCCTTTTATTGTTTTGTGTATTTTTGTTGAAATTTAATTGTAATTATCAGCTTATGTTCTTAGTATATAATTTGATTTCTTCATAAATCTATTTATTTAATTTCACAATTTGAACAAGAAGCTTAAAACAGATTATATATATATTTTCTATGAAATTAATCGAATAGATTTATATAGACTATTAGGTTAATTTTGTATAGTGTTACTAGGAATTGTTGCGGTATTGCTCACTTTTTCAATGATTGTAAATCATGCAATATTATTCTCTAATTGCTTAGTTTAATTAGAATGCTCTATTATAATTTGCATACTTAATTGTATTAGTATGATCTTGTTTTATGCGTATGGTTCATCATTCCTCTACCATGTTTTGCATGAATTTTAAGGTTATAAAATATAATTTATGGATGTTGCAATTTTCATATGCTAATTCTATTCTAGTTTTTAATTTCTTGCATGCTTATTATTTTCTAGACTAGATTACATAATTTAATGTATTTTGGAGTTAAAGAGTTTTATGAATTGTGTACATGATTAATCTAAATTATCTAATTGTGTGCATTAATATGAATTATTTAATTGGGTGCATTAATCTAAATTATCTAATTGGGTGCATTAATCTAAGTTATTTAATTAGGTGCATTAATTTAAATTATTTAATTATGTGCATTAACTTTGAATTTGACTTATCTATTTGGAGTTATTAGTTTAAATGTTTATTATGAATTAATTTCATTCATGACTTATGAGTATTGAACTTTATTTTAAAGTTGTAATTTAATTTTGAAGTTACAAATTGTATTTTGTTTTGGTACCTTATATTAGTTGGTTACTTATATAATTAATAGTTGGCTAGATGGTTTCAATTATTTATTATAATTAAATTTTTTAGATTATTTGTTTGTATTTTGTTGTGGTTTGCTACTAACTTTCTTTGTAGGGATACCAATGCGAAAAACAAATATAAAACCAAATGAATAGAATTTGGGATGTAAAAACAAAAATGTTTGGACTACTAACGTTTGTGTTGAATAGGAATACCTAAGCGTAGAAAAGCTTTTGGACTACATAGAATCCT